CCCTATGGGTGGGTGGGTGGCGCGTCACGTTATTGTTATGACTTGAAATGATTGACATGTCATGATAGGTTAACGTTAACTTAACGTTAACATAAGATTAGTTTTTGAGTGATTTCCATTTTAAGATGCTGATCCCCCATCTTTGGTATTGATTTGCTGATTATATAAATACATTTCAAATCAAGCTTTTCTATTTTAGTACGATCGGCAACCAACAAATCTTTTAGTGTTTTAATAACATCCAATTTTATAATAGTTGTTTCATGCATAGTATTGGTTTTCAAAAAAAAACTTTAAGGCAAAATTTCATGTCAATGATATGTCATAATATACAAAATAAGTTACGGTACATTTAGCATTGTGATTTATTTAAGCATTAATGTCCATTTTACATGTGGTTACATTAATATCCATTTAATACTATAATAGGACATCATATAAAAAAAAAAATTTTATCAACCGTACTCTAAGTATATACAGTCGGCTCATTTTATAATGAACTTGCGTTATATTAATGTAGTACCGATTTTAAAGTAATAGACCATACAATATCTGTATATATTAAATGACTCTTATTATAACGAATTTTTTCTTATAACGAATGATTTTTCTTATAGTAACGAAGATATCAGATATTTTGTGTCAAATTGAGCGGGGAGAAAAACTTTTTCCGATGATCCTTAGGAAAAACGTTAAAAAAAATACTCAAATCTTATATTAAAAACGTTCAAATATAAAAGTATTACAAAAAAAGAGAGTTTAGTTCAGGGTTTTTTAACAAAGTAACTACTTTTATTAATAATTCTTTTAAGAATATAGGACGAATGTCAAAAAGGGATTTTACAAAGGTATTGATAATATTTTCTCAGAAACAACTTCACGTTCGGAAGATTTTGACTCATTAGCGAATAATACAGCGTTAAATAGTGAGACAGTTGAACTTTTATTAAAAATTAGCGCTAGAAGGACGGGAAAAATACTTGGAACGCCTACGTGATTGGCTCCGGCAAGCACAACGAGGTTAAGTTATCAAAAAGGAAAAGGAGCTTAGGGAGAAAGAACGAATAATATTAAAGAAAATAAGGAAATGCAGAAGATAAAAAAGATTAATGATAAAGTAAGGTATCGATCAAAAGAATACTTTGGAAAAAGTAATACCGAAATCAAGTTAGCCGATAACTTATATGAAGAGCAATCACTTGAATTTTTGTTTACGATATACCTACGCAACTAAAGTTGTTAACATTGTTAAACCATGGGGTCTTATTAAAAGTATAAGACGAAAGAAGCGATACAAGTATCAGTCGGTAAAAGTAAAACTCCATCGCAGAAAACAATGAAATGATGGTTATGGAATTCGCGTACGGGTACAAGTGTGACGCTAAAGCTCAAGAATGGTCGTTATATGTTTTATAGAATAATACCGGCAGATGTTAAATTGTCAGAAATCAGAGCAGCCTGCAGATGGGTTGTGTACAAAAAAGTACAAGATAATTTAAAAGTTTTACCGGATGATCAAATTATTATTCAAGCAAAAGTATGAATATATTTTTGGTAAGAAAATAAGGATTAAAGGAGTAAAATACTTATACGGTTATTTTAAAGATGAAGATAAGTTAGCAGAAGTGGTAGCAAAAACATTAGTAAAGGAAGGTTACGAGCAAAAGAATGGACAGTCGTCAGAACAAGTTATGAATAATCAACAAGAGGTTAGTAAAAGTAATAGTTCGATGTCAGACGAAGAAGAAGTAGTGGATACGGTAAATAAATATAGGCAAGATATCAAAAAAAGTTGACGGTAAATAAGGTACAGGAGTACAAAAATTTAAATGCGTCTTTTAGTAATGGATTACAAAAAATAATAATGAAGTAATAGATATTCAAAAGGTTATTATAAAAGATAGTCAGTAATAGTATAGTTACATTGCAGAAAGTTTTAAAATCGAAACCATATTGTAACCTTATAACCAATATTTGGCCACAATATGGTTGCGATAAGCATACGTAAATCAAATGTATAAAGTTGATGCATATTAAGAAAAGATTTTAACTGGGTCGTACAAAAATGAAGTTGTAAATAAGAATCGTTAAAATGTATTGTAAAAGTTGTAAATAGATTCTAAAAATGTAATATCAAATTTTTAAAAAGATCATAAAATTTCAATTTCAATTTCGTGATTAAATAGCAAATATTTTAAATATTCAGTTTATTATCCTTTCCGAAATTATCAAGTTTTAGTGTAAATGATACTAAACGGATATGTATTCCTCACATATGAATTATTCTAAAATTACAATTGCTTTCATTATTTGTCATTTGTAACTTGCAGTATATACTGGAAAAATTTCTCTTGCTAGTCAATGATAATAAAATATCATTCATTTTCTTGATAATGAAACTCTTAATAGCAGGATCCATTTGAAGCCCCTACAAATTACAAAATTAAGAGATAGAAATGTTCAGTTAATAATGTTTTTTTTTTACAAAAAAAAAGTTTCGTAATACACAGTGAAATTCGATATAATGGAACCATCAGTTCCATTAGTAAAATTTGTCAAAAATCCGTTATATCAAAAATTCCAGGGTAAATTAATTATACATTATGATAATCCATCCATTCCAGACCCCAATTCCGATATATCAAGATTTTACTTATGATCCGTTATATCGAGGTTCCAGTATATTGAATTTCACTGTGTACGTACAACTGAAAACTTAGTATTTTCATTTTCCAAAAGTTCCACCCGAAATTTCTATAAAATAAAGAAAAAAATATTTCTTTAAAAAATAATAATCCATTTCGATAAATTCAAAAATTTGCCACTATCACCACCCAAAAATTGAATGCTAGATTCCTACGAAAAATAAAAAGAAGTTAGTAAAATAACTTTTTTCAAAATAATGTTTGAAATGACGAAAACTTGCCAGATTTTAAAATTCTGAGTCAGTTTCTTACAAATAGAAAAAAAACGATGTTCTTTAATAAAGTTTTGAAAACTTAACTGGAATATATGATTCCATGTTTATGAAATGTTAGAATTATTTCGTTAAAATAATAAATTTAAAGAAAAAAACTTCCCTCACCAAATTTCCCGTATGGTCAAGAGATCTGAAAAATTGCCTAAAAAAGAAAAAGTTAGTTAATAGTTTGTTAATTGATACAAATTAAACAAAAACTACTATCGCACCAAATTCCGCAAGCTCAAGAAACCCGTAGGACTGCCTAAAAAAGAAAAAAAAATGAAATCGTTACCATTTTGTTAAAAATAAAAATTTAGAAAGACTACACTTTTTATTTTTATTTTTAATTCACAAAATGAACCAAGTTTACAGCTAAAAATTACGAGTAACTACATATGTAGAACCGACAGTAATTTATAAAAGTCTGAAACCAACATCCGATCGCACCCTTCGATACAAGGGGTGGCCATCTTGATTGTAAAAAAAGGTGGAAGAACGGAGACGAGATGAACCCACCTCCGAACTTATCGAACCAAGAAGATAAAAAAGGAACTAAAAATAAAAGATTAGCGAACTACAAATAAGAGAAATCCCTCTACATAATAAACCCGGACGCCGAAAAAAATTTCTATCATCTATAAGGTACAAAAGGGTTTCAAAAAACCCACTTACTATCACCACGAAATAAAATATGAAAGCCGGGAACCAAAATAGTGAAAGGTTAGAGAGCCACCGATGTTTCGTAAGTGACTCTGTGGTGGGGTTGTAGTTAGATTCGAGGTTGGATCGTCTCAGTAAGAGTTGTCGAAGCTGGTGTCGAAAAAATTGGTAATCGTGTTTGATATTTGTCACGTGGTTGCCTTTCCAGTAATTTTGGAAGGTTCTTTTCGTTGTATAAATGGGATACGGTGATTATGGTAGCGTGTGCAGTGTCGATCCACGATAGGTCAAGATGACCATGATATGTTTCCATTAACGGTAAGTTATCACGACGGGCTTGAAGAGCTGCGCATTTCAGCGAGTGCAAAGTCGTAGCGTCGAAGGTATTGTAAACAACTTGGCATATCCAGTTTTCTATTAAAACTGGTTGTCTGTTATGTAAACTGTGCTTTTTGTCGACATCAAATTTGTTTATGATTTCTTGTTGTCTGTAAAATTTTAGACAGTGTTCGTGGTATGTGCATATGTCCTCTTTCGTTTCGTCGAAGCACCTGAGGAAGGGTATAAAATGTGGCGTACTCTGTGGGCCTCCGTCTGGAGAAGTATATTTTTCAAAAATCATCTCAAAAAGGGCGGTGTGAAGAGGAGGGCTTTCCGTAGAGGCCACCCCGTGGTCCTCTTCCCTCAGCGCATAGCTATAAAGTTGTTAAAAAAAATAAAATTAAAATTTACTGCGGAAAATTATAAAAAATGACGGAAAGCGGAGAGAGTTTTCCTTCCCTTTGGAAAGATTGAATAAGATTTCAAATAATAAAAATAATTAGTGAAACGTAAATCTTGTGACAAGAAAGTGATCGACATTTTATTTGAATCTAATGTACGTATGGTTTAGCGAAAATGTTATAGAGAATTTGAGTGATTTTGGAATAGTTAGAAAGTTAAAAGTGAAAAAGTTTTTTTAATATCAGTCAGTAAGTGCAGAGATTGTGTTAAAAGAAAAATATAAAGAGAAGTTTGAACGAGGAGGTTTTGGCATTAGATTAGCAGGAGGTAGGTGTATAAGGGAAATACGATGATGACACAATGAGCGGACAAGTTATCAATGGCAATTGATCAAAAATATAGATAAAGAGGACGAAAAATTGTTGTTAGACTATATATATAAAGTAGGAAGAATACATATAATACATGCATGATAAATAAGGTATCGTTCAGCCCAACCAATAGGATCATGAGACCGATATTTTTATTAGGCATAGAAATAACACATGATTGATTGGAATATTTTGTAAAGTGGATTAAAAATAGCATAAAAATGAAATTTAGAGAAAGTTAAATAAAGCTTATTTATGTAATGCATGATCAAAAACGTCAGAACGATAACTATTTATTAAAAAATGGTTATGTTTTTAATGGATATATGATCAAAGTATACAAATACATATAATGAAATTATTTCAAATACTTCTCTATAATTTTAAATTTATGATTCTGCAGTAAATAGAGAGGTTAGGAAGAAAGTAGCGAATAAAAGAAAGATAGGAAGAGAATATGAATCAGAAATTACCAGAGAAGACGTTGAATTAAATATAGAAATAGACGAAGAATTTAGAAATGAAGAAAGAGATAATGAAAGTTGGGTCAACAACTATTCTAAGTTAGGTGATTTTGGAAGGAAAATCACATAATAGGATTAATCAAGAACCCACCACAGTCGGATCTGTTGGAAAATACAGTAATTTGGGAAGTTTTAAAAACAGTGGAACAAAATAAGTAAACGCGCCTAACGGATCAAAGGTCTTAAACCAGGTCAGAAACAATTCAGCTGAAAAGAATAGTAACGTCAAACAAGATATGAAGAAAGACAAATTTGCAGGATATAAGTATACGTCCAGACAGAAGAACACACTAATGGTTGACGAGGTTGTATAAATAGTTAATAAATATAGAAAAGGTTTAATCAATAAATACCAAAAAAACTAGAACGTCATAAATAAAGGATTATGTCAAACATGAGGGTGTAGTCAAGGTAATTAAATAGTTGAAAAATGAGAAGGTTGGAAATATGATGTTAAAAGGAAATATTGCTAATATTAAATGAACAGTAGTATTAGATAGCGAAGTATTCAAAAATAGAGTTAATGTTACAGACGAACTATTATAAACTGTTTGTTAGAACAAAAGCAGTTAAAGAAAAAAAAAATTTCAAAAATTTTGCGTCCAAAAGAACCACCTAAAAAAAATAAAATTGAAATGCTAGAAAATGTTTAGTTAAGGATTTTTCAATTAAAAGTATGCGAAAAGCAGAAAAGAAGAAAGAAAAGGGCAGGGAAAGAGAAGGGAAAGGGGAAGGAAAGGAAAGAATGAAAGATAGAAGAAGAAAAGGTACAAAGGGAAGTGAAAGGATGAACGAAGGAAAGTTAAAAAAAGTTCAAAGTATTATTAAAAAAAGTCAAAGAAAAAATTTAGATGTGAATTATATCATGTGATATACGTGATATATAATTTGACATATAGACACTGTAGACACTGTAAGACTACGCGTATTGTTCGTAATTTGTATCGTGACTTTGTTCACATGGAATTTAAAAATAAAAATAAAATAAACTACGCCCGTGATAAATCACGTTGCCACCGCAGTCTTAACAAAAAAATACTAAAAATAAAATTAATTTATTCCAAATTCGCCCCCTTTTTACTAAACCCAAAATTATGGCCATTTATATTAAATTATATAGCTATAAATGGACCTTTTTTCAAGAGAGAAATTCTAATTTATCCATTTCAAAATTTTCAAATTTTAATTTTTCAAACTTTTGCTCTTAATATTTCATGTCAAAAATATTATTTTCATATTTTAAAAATTATGAACTTCCCTTTTTTTGATCTTCAAATCTCCTTCTTAAAATATAAAGTCTCTGATCCTAGTTCCCTCTCCCAAATCTAAATATAGAATCTTATCTTCATAGTTTTACATCATTGCGGATGCGCGGATGCTACATTGTAACATTGCACAACTTTATAACACTAAATATAATACTACGCCTCATAATTATTAAATTTGCTAGGTAAGTCACGGCATTACAACACAAAATTGGTAGATTTATCATCAAATAGTATTTAATGCACCAAAAAAATATCTTATATTATTTTTTTTAATGACATTTAACACCTATTTAAGACTATTTTTTTTAATATGTTACGACTTTGAAAAAGCACATTATCGATAGTTTTACGAGATAGTCTAATACTAGATCGTCACGTGTCTGATACTGATTTGATATATGTTCGAGATTTGTTCTCGTCAAATAAGGTATGTTATAAAAAAAAAAAGATGTTTTATGTCACATACGTTGTTTATATATCCAATTGATTCACGTTATGATATTAACGAATTTTTTTATAACGAAGGCCTGATTCTCCTGGACAAAAAATTCTCGTTATAGACGAGCCGACTGTACGGAATTTTTGGAATTTGATAAACCATGCCGTACAGGTTTCAAAGTCGTACCGTACTGAACATACATATAATCATATAAAAATTAGGGTAGAATCAAGGGGTCAGGTTCATTTCACCAATAATCATTATATCACTGACATTTGTTTCACAGACAGTTATTTTGCAGTTATGTTTTTTTAATAATTTCGACAAAGCCGAATAAATCATAATGAAATTAACAAAATAGGTAATTAATTTGTAATTAATTCCTGTGTAAAAAAATAAAATATTATTCATTAGGAGTATTGTACCGTCATTGTTTATATTTGTTACTTCAAATTCTTCCTCATTTATCATCTTTCTCGAAAATCAACTTTTTTCAGGTTTTTAATAGTTCTTAGTTAGTGTGGTAAATTAAACTATAATATTGGAAAATGCAAATAATTAATGCTGTAAAACATCAGACATTTGTAAAAATTTTTCCTTGTTCCTAATCAACAAATAATATAGTAATACCTATCCGCAGTTTTTACATAATTATTATTTATCTGAGAATATTACCTTTCTATAAATAAAATAAATAAATAAGCAGGAACAAAATAATAGCAGCTGCACCTTGAAAAGCCTGAAAAACAAAATCTTAATTTGGCTACTTTATCATACTAATCAGCAATGTAATATGACTAATAATTACGACACCAACTTCTATTAGCATTTTCACTTGTAATCTTGTATTATTTTATTTGTTTTAACATTATTACACAACAGATTATTCTTACAAATATTAATAGTAATGGGAATCTCTATTATTGAATTTAAATTATTTTAATTTTTCACTGTTTATTACAATATAGTACTAAATATATTGTAACTGATAATTTTGATTAAATATATTTTTTATCAATTTTGGTCAATAATAGTTAATCTTCATTATAAAAAAAAAAAAAATCAAAAAATGAAACAATTTAATCGGTAAATGTATAAGACGCCAATCATTTCTATTATTCTATCATAAAAATTGGGTAATTTGAAATTGATACATATTTTTTTTTGTATAATGTAAAAAGTATATAAAGAGCCTTTGATCTGATGGACTTGACATTAAATTTAATATTGACTCAAAATGAACGAAATGAACGAAATGAACAAAAAGTTAACGTTAACACTATAGTTTTGTGTTTTGTTCCCGACGTCTGGTTTTCTTTTTGGACGTTTTGGACGTCAATCATAATTTAGTCATGCTTACATAATACAACAGATAGGTCTATTTACGTCACAAAAAACCGATCAGCATATTATATAACATTTACTAAGAAGTTTACATAAAATTAACTAAGAATTTCCTAATTAGGTTCATCTCCGTAAACAAAACAAAAAAATTATTAATAATTTATGTATGTTAAATTATATAACAAAGAATAAAATGTGAATAACAAAGAATTCCGGACTGAGCCGGAATGGGCCGGTTCCAAATGCAGGCTTCTAATATCTAAACGACAACGAAAATTTTGAATTATTTTTTCATGTAAACAAATTCATAGTTCTTTTAAATTTCTAATTAAACAAACTCCGAATTGAAAAAAATTTCTATAATAAGTAAATTTTACGCACCTTTACGTTAGCAAAAACACTGTATTATAAATTTCATAATTTATTTTCGTCATCAAGTTCATAGTTCTTTTAAATTGCTAATTAAACTTTGAACCATTGAAAAAAAAATTTCTCTAAAAAGTAAGTTTTATGCGCCGTCATGATAAGTAATATACCATCGTTTTAAAGAAAACTTATTCGTAAAGTCGAAATTTTAAAATTTTCGTCGATCCGATATTAAATATAAAAGAATAATCTCAACTTAATTTAGAAAATAAAAAAAAAACAAAATGTCAAAAAAAACCATCTTAAAAGATTCAAACCAATGGTTAGAGAAATCAATTATCGATGAACATATCAACTACTATGATTATTCGGGTTTCAAAAATATTCAACCAATAGGAAGTGGTTCATTCGGAAACGTCAATCGTGCTAATTGGAAAAATACTGATCATTTCTTCGCTTTGAAATCTTATAATAATAATAAACAAACTCTTGAAGAAATCGTAAAGGAGGTAATTATTCAAAGGTATAATTAATATAAAATATTAGAAAGTTAGAATTTGTAATAATCAATAATATCTTAATATAATACGACACAGTTAAAGTTACACCGAAGTGTTGATATACATGAAAATATCATACGGTTATGTGGAATAACAAAGGTAGAAACCAGTAAGTATTAATAATATGTTTAACGTGACAATCAATTTTTCTTTAATAATAAGTAATTATTTTAAAATATAAATAAAATTGATTTAATTAGGCGAAATTCAAAAATATTCTTTGGTCTTAGAATATGCTGATAGCGGTACGTTAAATGCTTATTTAAGCAAGCATTTTAATGAATTGAACTGGAATGATAAATTCCACTTAGCATTGCAACTGACTAGCGCTGTAGAATTTTTGCACGATAATGATATTATTCATCGTGATCTGGTAATATATATATTTTAATTAATTATTCATTATGATATCATTTGTTTAAAATACAGTATAAAAAGACTAATACAATTAATTTGTAATTGAAGCATGGAAATAACATACTTATACATCAGAAAAACATTAAATTAGCAGACTTTGGTTTATCGAAAAGAGTTATTGAAGTATCAAGTGACTTATCAAAAGTACTTGGTGTATTACCCTATGTAGACCCAAAAGGTTTCGAAGACAAAGAAAATTATAAATTAAATAAAAAATCTGATGTATACAGCATTGGAATTTTATTGTGGCAAATTTCAAGTGGATATAGACCTTTTCATGAAGTCGGTTATGGACCAAGTTTAATGTTATCTATATTAAATGGTCAAAGAGAAAAAATTATTGATGGGACTCCTGTCAAATATAGTAAATTATATACAGGTAACGTTATATATAATATGATTAATATTTTATTATAAGCATCATGTAAATTAATTTTATTTACTAATTGGTTAGAATGCTGGAAATATGAACCAAATGAACGTCCAAATATGCAAGTAGTTGTTTTAATACTTAAAGCAATCACTTCTCCTGAAATTATTATTTGTAATTCAAATGAAGGCAAAAAAAATTCTTTATCATCAGAAAGTTATGAAATAAATTTAGAATCAAACAAGGTATCTCCAAATATAAATAACGATTTAAATATCAATTATAATTTAATGCAAAATACTATGTCAAATATAAATAATATGTCAAATATGAATACCAGTATATTTGATATTGAATCATTAAATATTGACGTATGTGAAAGTACTAGGATAAACTCACAAAATTATTTAGATAGTTCATCAATTGCATCAAGTCGAACGTCATTATCATCAGTAAATCTAATTGAGTCGATATATGGCGCAGTTGTTGATAAGTTAATTAGTTATATAATTAAAAAACATGATGGAGGTGTTACTTTTGATCGAGTTCAACAACTTATTGATAAAAAAATATTGCAATTAAATCAAAATGTAAACAATCTTATATATTGGTTATCAAAGAATCAGGATAAATTACAATATATTTGGTTTCTTGGAATATTCTATTATTATGATTTCGGTACAGAAGACAATAATTGCATTAAAGCATTTGAATTATTTACAAAAGCAGCAAATAATAATTATTCAATTGCACAAGTTTATCTTGCTAATTGTAATTATGATGGATATGGTATTAAATGTGATAAAAAAATGACATTTCATTGGTGCGAAAAATCTGCAAACAATGGAAGTATAATTGGAAAATTTTATCTAGGATATTGTTATGAATTCGGCATTGGAATAATGAGTAATGAAAAAAAATCAGCTTATTGGTATAATGAAGCAACTAAAAGTGGAAATACAACTGCAAAACTTTATCTTGCTAATTGTTATAGATTAGGAAAAGGAGTTGATAAAGATGAGATTAAAGCACGTAAATATTATGAAATATTAGCAGAACAAGAAATTTCTGATGCACAACTAGAACTTGGTAATTGTCTTTATAATGGAATCGGAACAAAAGTTGATAAAGTAAAAGCAAAATATTGGTATGAAAAAGCAGAAAACAATGGAAATATTATAGCAAAAAATATTCTTAAAAAGTGCTATAGTAAAAAACTAGGAATCAAAACAGAAAATATTAAAAAAAGAAAGTTTTACAAGATTTTATTTTTTAGGAATTTAAATCAGAATGGACTATATTATGTTGGAAGAATATTACTAAAAGCAAATTATGAAAAATCGTTTTATTATCTACAAAAAGCAGCAGGAAATGGATGTAAATATGCGCAGTTTAATTTAGGCAAATGTTATCAAATAGGAACAGGTGTAAGAAAAGATACAAGAAAAGCCTTTGAATTATACAAGAAATCAGCTAAACAAGAAAGTATTGGTGCACAATTTCAACTTGTTTATTGTTATAATCTTGGATATGGAACTGAAATAAATAAAGTAAAGGCATTTGAATTAGTTAAAATAATGGCTAAAAAAGGAGATAATGATGCATTATATTTGTTAGGATTGCATTATATATTTGGAGTAGGTGTTAATAGGGATAGAAAAGAGGCTTTTAAAATATTTAAAAATTTGGCAGAAAACGAAAGTCCGATTACCAACTACTTATCTGGTGATAAAGAAATTATAATAAATAAAGTAGATGATTTTTATTCGCGACTATTAACTGAAAATAGGCACTTGAATGCAAATATTATTCTTGGTTATTGTTACATATACGGAGTAGGAACTGAAGTAAATCATAAAAAAGCATTTGATTTATTTAAAAAGATAAAAAAAAATGGATGTGTAATTGCACAATATATTTTGAGGAGCCTTTATATTGAAGATAATAACGAAACTAGAACTTTTGAATGTCATAAAAAATCAACTGATAAAAGATTTTCAAAAACACAACTTCAATTTGGAAAATGTTATTCTGAAGGAATTGGATCAGAAATTAATGAAAGAAAAGTAGCATTTGAATTATATAGAGAAGCAGCTAAAAAAGGACATGATTTAGCTAAATGTGATTTAGCTGATTGTTATCAAAATGGAAAAGGGGTAGAAAAAGATGAAAGAAAAGCATTTGAATTATATAAAGAAACAGTAGCAAAAGGATATGATTGGGCAAAATTTAAATTAGCTGAGTGCTATCAGAATGGAAAAGGAGTAGAAAAAGATGAAAAAAAAGCGGTTGTATTATATGAAGAAGTAGCTAATGATGGATATATTTGGGCATGCAATAAGCTGGGAGATTGCTATCAAAATGGAAAAGGAGTAGAAAAAGATGAAAGAAAAGCATTTGAATTATATAATAAGGTATCTGCTAAAGTTGAAAGGGCTGGAAGGGGGGTTAGTTGGGCGTATGTTAATTTGTACTACAGAAAGACAATTAGTCAAGAATATTTAAATGCTCAATTTAGAATAGCATATTGCTATGATAAAGGAGTTGGAATTGAAACTAATAAAATAAAGGCATTTAAATTGTATAACATAGCAGCAGAAGAAGGACATGATACTGCACAAAATTATCTTGGATATCTATATATGAAAGGTGAAGTACCTGAAATGGATTCAAAAAAAGCCGTTTATTGGTTTCAAAGAGCAGTAGAAAATGGAAATAAATTCGCATATGATAACTTAGCTATATGTTATGAATTAGGAATTGGTACAAATAAAGATGAAACTAAAGCATTTGAGTTATATGAAAAATCGGCTGAGAAGGGATACATTAATGCGAAATTTCATCTTGGATATTGCTATGTAAACGGAATTGGAACAAAAATTAATAAGAAAAGGGGATTTGAGTTATATAGAGAAGCAGCTGAAAAGGGAAATCTTAATGAAATGAATATTCCTGAGGATTATTATAAAAATAAGGAAGAATTAGCAAAAGACTTAAATGAAGTTAGTTATTGGTATCAAAAATCAGCAGCAGATTATGATAATGAGTTAGCATTATATAAATTGGGGGAGATTTACGAATTAGGAAAAGGTGTTAATAAAAACGAAGCTAGAGCATTCGATTATTACAAACAAGCAGCTGAAAAAGGATGTATATATGGAAAATATAAAGTTGGAAAATACTTTTTTAGTGGAATTATAGTTGAAATTAATAAAGAAAAGGCATATAATTTATATAAAGATGCGGCTGAAGGAGGAAATAATGATGCTAAAAAATTTCTTGCATTATTTCATAAATAAGATGAAATATGAGCGTAAGAAGGTAAATGAATGTTAAAGGAATGTTAAAGGTTAAAGAGCGTTTAGAAATTCATCAAATCGAAATTGTAATTAAAATTGAATAATCAAATAGAAGCCTTTTTATTTTAAAAATGGATTTTCTAATTTTACTATCAACCTTTTCATATATTTATTTTTAAAATCTAATAATATAATATAATTTATTCTATAAATAACTAATTGCAGTATATAGTTTGCTATTAATATCTTTTCCATTGAATTATTGTGCCTTTATTAATTGTGTATTTAGGATCCTAGTACTTGTCTTTAATATATAGACGTGTAAACATGCATGCAATAATTAATTATAAAATGGTTAAAAAAAAAGTTCGAATTAAGTAAAAAATAAAGTGTGTAAATAATTGTTCCTTCATCGTGATTGCGAGGAATTACGACTATTATTATTAAAATATTTAACATTTTAACCTCTATCCACATAAGAAATGTCAAAACAAATAAAATCTAAAATAAAATGAATAAATAAATACAATATTTGTGAAAATCAGTGTTTAAATTATTTTTTTAAAATTATTGTATAATTAATTCCATATGGAGTAATAAATCATCAATAAAAGTAATAAAAGTTTAGATTTTGCACGTTTAAAATTTGTCTTTTCTCACATGGAGTAGGCTTTCGTATTACTTAGTCGTATTACTTAGCCGTAGTTACGTTTTACGACTAATTCTTTGCAGTGAACGAAGATGTTATCAATAAAGAGCTATAGGGAAAAAGAAATTGAGAAATAAATAGAAAAAAAAGAGCCATGGGGAAAAAAAGAATAGTATATACGTAAAAATAAAATTGATTTCATTTTTAATTTAATAACGCTCATTGTTTAAAATTTTTTTTTATAAACTTCTCTTTTTAAGTAAATAAAATAAATATATATATTATATAAATAAATAAAATACATCTATATAACTGAAAAGATTTGGACATTATTTAGATTGCCCTGTAGAAGTAAATTTGAATCATAACGTGTAGTTTGCTGCGTTAAATTCGTTGATATGAGTGCCGATCACTTCTACTAGAAAAAAAAATATTAAAGCCAATTTTTGGGATAATGGAAAAAATGAATTATGTATGCAGAAATGTGAGCAAAATAATGCTTTTGCTAGCCGTTTCGTTAACGCAAAGCCCACCCACCACCCTTTGAATAACTCCTCATAAGCTTTTTTTAAAATTCTAAAAAAAATAATCATCTAATACAATACTGTCAAGGAGCGAAGATCCTTCAAAGGATATTCTAACTTCACTTGATTCAAGATTTAGTTAATAATTATCATTTTTTTATTATCGCCATAGAAAAATATATACTGTACATTTTAAAACTGACTTAAATATTTTTTATATGATATTATTAAGAATAAAAAAAATGGTTATATCATAGCTGAACATTTTATAATTATATCGTAATTTTCTCATGTTTGCTGACTAGAAATACAAAGTAATTTAATCATCATTATACCATAATCTTTATCGAACTATCAAATATAAATCATTTGAAAGTCATTAAAAAATTAGTTACTTATTTTTATTTTTTAAATCCACGTGAACAAAGTCACGGTACAAATTACAAGGACACTATATAATAGGTCAAAGGTAATCTAAAATTAAAAAATTAGTTACTACTAGGGAACGGAGACCATTGTTAAGTCCGGAGCGAGACCACGTGATGATGTATCAAATTATGAAGTTGAGCGGGACATTTGTGAAACCGATACGCGTAGTATATAGTCCTTCGCTTCTGAGCTCCGGACTAATTATAGTACAAATTTTCAAATTATTTGTCAAATCATATCCAAAAAATTTATTCACGAAACGGCAAACTATATGATTGCACCTAACAAATCAAAACTTTTCACTATGGATTTTATAAAAGCAGATTTCTTTCTTTATATAAACATATAGTTTAAGATTCGATAAGAATTTTGGATTTGGGATTTTAACAAACCAGTGTTAATTTGTAAAACTTCTCTATCTCACATTTTTTCTGCAAAAAAAAATATTATATAGATATTTTTCGATCAAGCGGGTGGTCTATTTCGTTTCGATACGAAATGTTAACGTTATTACGTTAACATTAATGTTAACATAATAAGATTGGTTTCCTATGGCGTATCCCTAACCCAATCTTGTATCGATTTACTGATTTAAATTTCATCCTTTCCCTTTTAAATCCAAACCTTTCCATTTTTAAACAACAACCGATCAAGAAATCTTTTATTGTTGTAATTATAAAATTATACAAATTTGTATACATATATTGCTCTATGCCCTATAAAAAAGAAATGTCCGGAAATTGTATCTAAAAATGTCCGGGTGCATCCAGAAAATGTCCGGAAATTGTCCAGATATTGCAGGATTTAGGACGAAAACCAATTTTCTGAATGTTTGATTGTC